GTTGGCTCCTTAAGGTAATCACACTCGGCCGAATATCATTTGCCTCTTCGCATATTAATATGTTTTTGCCGGCTTGCTAATTTTCAGTGTAATTAATTCTGCATGGCTGTGCTAATGTAAATAATTTCCTTTTATGCTTTTGACTGTTCAAATTCACGATGTTCTCGCATGAGAAGTTTAAGTTGCAGCAAACCACTAGATCTACTTTGTTTTAATTTACTGCTTTGCTGATTTAAGTTAATAATTAAATGTTTTTCCAAATTAGTTCCTTTATTGTCCTTTGCTCGTATGTTTTAGTGTCCTGATTCCCGTCTTTTGATTTTTCTTCTGCCGTGCATTCTCCGCACGTAACATTACACAGCAGTTTGACATAGGAGATAAATCTTTCTCCAAAGCACATGGTCTTCATAACAGCACACATATAGTAATGATCCACATGATCAAACGCTTTATTTTGATCAAGATTTAAAACAGCAAGAGGAACACAATGAGAATTAGCATACAGAAGAATATCCTTGATTAAGTCGATATTATCATAGATTGAACGACCCGGAACAGTATAACTTTAATCAGGGTGAACAACGCTATCGATAACATTTTTGAGTCAGTTTGAAATAATTTTTGCAAAGATTTTGTAGTCCGTATTGAGTAAAGAGACAGGACGCCAGTTTGAAATCTCAAGCAAGTCGCCTGTTTTGGGAAGAAGGGTTATAACTCCCCTTTGACAAGAAACGGGAAGGTGGCCGCTGGCAACAGATTCATTGAGCACTGCCATGAGATCGTCCTTAATTAAAAAAAATTTGATAAAATTCAGAAGTAAGGCCATCCAGGCCAGGGGACTTATTTAAATTTAACTGCTTAACCGCCATATCCATTTCATCTGTTGTTATTGGTTTGTTACAATCTTCAGAGTCACTTACACTGAGTGTAGGTAAATTTTTAAACAAGTGATCCATAGTACTGGGTTCAGTTTCGGCCTCACTGTACAATTGTTAGTAGAAATTCCGAATGTGTCATTTTATTTCATTTGGATCATCAGTAGTCCTTCCAGATGAGAGACGAATTTTAGAAATAGTTTTAGCGGTAGAGTTGGATTTTTCTAGATTAAAAAAGAATGTAGAACAAGTGTCAATTTCTGTTGTGAGCTGAAAGCGAAATCTAATGATAGCCCCTTTAGCGTCATGCTTAAAGTGTTCATTCAGGGCATCCCGCTGTTCCTGAAGAGTTTTTTGAGTCTCTGGGGTAAGATCAGGACAGCACTGTAAATCATCAATGGATTTGTGAAGAGAATGAATCTTGTCCCGTTTTTCACGGGCAGTTTTAGCTCCATACATTTGAGTGATAGATTTAATATGATTCTTCCCCATGTCCCACCATACACTGATGGAGGAAAATTGGCATCTTGTAGCCTGCCACTTTTTCCAGAATTGTTTAAAAATTCCTTCGTAGGTCTCGTCTTGAAGCAAAGAATTATTGAAGTGACAGTAGGCGCTACCCTTCTTGCTTACATCAGGAAGTGTTATTTTAAGAACAACAGCACTATGATCGGACAAGGAACAAGGTTGAATGTTACAAGAGTCAACAGAGGGCAAAAGGTGAATAGGGAAGTCTAGCTTTGGAGGTACTTCTCAAAGTGCCAGTGCTGTATCTGAACCAAGTAAATTTAGATGAATTGGGATTATTTCTACGCCAAACATCACACATAGAAAAAGTATTGATGATATTTTCTATAGCAGAAGCAATTTTGTGTCTCCTTTCAATGCTTTGCGAGAAGCGATCCAGAAGCGGGTCATGTGTACAATTAAAATCCATGCCAAAAATGATAACTCGATTGTCGAGTGAAGAACAATGCTCTTCCAAGGAGATAAGACAGTTCATTGCAGCAACGTCATCCTGAGGAATCAGGAGATTGTAAATATGATAGGTGGTTGAATAAATTCTAAGCTCGAGAAAAAGAACATATCCAGCACAGATTGTACAAGATTTTATTATGTTAAAATTATTATTTTTCTTGACGAGAGTAGCCACACCAGAGCCCCGGGTGGTTCCAGGAGCGCAACAGACATCATACGGCCATGTTTTCCAACACAGATCTTCATTCCTAAGATCGTAAGTTTCCTGTAGCAGAGCAACATCGGGATTTTCAAGGGTTATGTCTAGATACACATGAACATATCTTGCAGATATCTTGAAAAGGGAGTGCTTTAGAGGTACATTGACCTTATGTGATGATGACGTCATAAGGAGACATCATAAGGAGACAGGTCAAGGTGCACTCTTTAAGACCCCATATCTCCTGAAGTACATGTCTGATCGGCTTCAAATCTTGCAGATATCTTGAAAAGGGAGTGCTTTAGAGGAGTTTTGACCTCATGTGATGACGTTATCAGGAGACAAGTCACGTGACATTAATGTCGCACACTTCAATGCCCTATATCTCCTGAAGCATATGTCTGATCGGGTTCAAATCTTGCAGATTTCTTGAAAAGGGAGTGCTTTAGAGTTATATTGACCTTGCCTGATGATGACGTCATCAGGAGACAAGTCACGTGACATTCAGCTTGCACTCTCTAAGGCTCTTTATCTCCAACAGGACATGGCCAAGCGTTTTGGAAGTTAGCAGATATCTGGAAGGGGATGTGTGAAAGACGAAAATTGAACTAATGGGATGATGACGTCATCAGTACATAAGTCATGTGACATTAAAGGTGTATCATTTAAAGCCTTACATCTCCAGTATATGTCCTAGCTGGATGAAACTTTGCAGATATGCAATCACGATGATGGGTTTTTCAATGAAAAGCGAAAAAACCCTGTTTTGTTGCAAACAGACATAGAACATCCTGTTTCCTATTCTTTTTCTTCTGATCAAAAGCCCATTTTTTTTGGGCACTTTGTTCTTAGAGTACTTTTTTTTTCAAAATTACTTTTTATTTTTATTTCAGACAAAACAGATGCAGGAAATCTTTTTCAGACTCGAAGAACCTGTATAATTTTTTACTCAACAGAAATAAATGATCCAAAAAGGGAACACCTGAAACAAGATCCCAATTTGCTGTTTCATAAACAGAAGAGATTTGGGAATGTTTAAGAAACAGCAACAACTTTCAACTTTCGGGGACACACTCCTACATACCACTGATCCCTTTTACTATTTTTTAAAATCAATTTCCATTCTTTTAAATTAGAGATTACCAATGCTGGAAAACTGGTCCAAACTGGATAGGAAACTGTCAAAACATTTAAATAATGTTGAAACTGTGTGTGCCAAAATACTTAAAATTAAAAAATCTCAAAAATGTTTACACTTGTAGACACATGAGTATATTACTATCATGTAATGTGTTTAATACAAGGTTGATCCGCCGAGATTACACTGTGACAGAAGACACTTAAGTTTCAAAACCAACTATGAAACCCTTCTACGAAAAATTACAGGTGTCAAATGACAATAAATAAGCCGAATAACAAGCACAATAACAAAACTGCTCAATGTAGTATATAAGTCCTGCCAGAATGTGAGACACCATTTCCATAATTTCAATAACGACAGTATCTGTCATCTCAAAATCTGCAATATTATATTTTAAACCTTTGCACATTTTTTCATAACTACATGTACACAAATTCCACCAGATTATTTACAAGTTCTGTTCATATTGTACTTACTGTCATGACTGACTTAAGTATACTAATATTTGGATCATGGCTTCCCACCCCACAAAAATGAATATACCAGGTAGGCCTACATATAAAAGCAAAATTGTGAACTTTGTATTTTATACACACAAAACACTCATTTGAACACTGATACATAGTAGTGGGTGAAAAATTTGGATTCCTTGAACACTTATAAATGACTAACATCATTAGACAGCTATTGAGAAAGAAGAATTTTTACTATGAAATGACTTACTCAGACAACTCTATTCCGCTTACATGACCCAATTATTTAGAGCATATCTTTCAAAAGTACATGGATAAGATTTAGCTATAGAAACACTTACTTGGAAATATGGGAGATTATTTCTTTGTGAACAGCCTTATAGATAATACTTGGCAACTAAATCCGAGTACACAATTACCTCTAAGTTTGTAAGACTGTTCTTCAACAGGAATACAAAATAGAGCAGTCAAACAATTTTGAAAGACTTGGATGGGAGATTAACCCCTGACCATACCCCCCAGTGCACATGACAAGTAATTTTGAAATACATGAATAATTAGAATAATTAATATCAAGAT